AGGTTGAGAGCACCAGGCTCTCTTCATTTAGGAGTTAAAGGCAATGGATATTTCTTACTGCTGTTACCTGGCTGAGAGGGTGGTCCCCATACCTGAAAGGGGTTGTGTTACATTTCTGGGTATTGTGACAGAATACATCACAGAAACTTATTTAAGGCAGGAAGAACTTGTTCTGACCCACAAGTCAGGAAACAGTCTATCGTGACCAGAAAGGCATGACAACTAGAATGGCTCTGTCTATAGTGGTGGGACCACCATACTGTAACTGCTTGTTACATTTTGAAGAATCAGGAAGCAGAGAATGGGGCCAGAGTCAGGTGTAACCTTCAAGTCTTGCTCTTGGTGATCCCTTCTGCTAGTCAGGCCACATCTCAAGGATTCCAGAACTTCCCAAACAGTGCTACCAGCTAGGGACCCACATGTTCAAGCTCACAAGTCTGTGTGGGGTGTGTGGGAGGGTGTGGGGATGTAGGGGTGGGGTGGAAGTGTGTGGGGCGTGTGTGTGCATGTGTGTGCGTGTGCCCATGCATGCGCACTTGCGCTCACATTTTTACAGTCAGACTACAACAGACTCCATCCTACCAGCCAGCATGGGTGGTTGCTCTGCTATGCCAGCTCTCAGCACTGCCACTTCTGGAGGCATACTCCAGAAGAGTTGATGATGCCAGAACTGTGCTGTTGGATGACACAGATTTACCTTTTTATATGTCCTTGGCCAACATTTATTTTTTCTATCCTCAGTTTTAGTCTTGCTGTTTTCCTGTTGTCCCTGATGACTCACTGCTAGCAAACCCATGTTTGTAGCAGGCTTTTTTCAAACTTCCAGCCTCCAAATCATGACACAGAGTCTTACTATTATGAAAGCTCGGTCTTAGGCTTGTTTCTAACTAGTTCTTATAACTTAATCCATTTCTATTACTCTTTATGTCATCACATGGCTCATGGCTTTTGCCTCTCCTCCTTTGTTTCCTGCTTTCTCTGCATCAGGTTGGTGACTCCACCTTTCTTTTTTCCTGAGACCTCTTTGTCCCCAGAAGTGTACTGCCTAACCTCTTCCTGCCTACCTATTGGTCATTCAGCTCTTTATCAAACCCATCACAGTGACACCTCTCCACACAGTGTAAATGAATATTCTGCCACACAAGTTTATGCTTTGCCTAATCACATCCCTTATATAGGAAGCAGGCTGAGCTGTTGGCTTTGTTCTTGGGGCTCAGGGTAGAAGTTTGCTGTTAACTGTGTGCAAGACTTTTTTGGGGGGTCTGGTTTTGGGCACTTGCCACAGTTACTGTGGATTCTGCTTCCATGAAGAACGAACATTCTTGCTGCATGCTGCCTACATGATGCTCAAACCCCCAGCAGGCTGAGGGCGCCTTCCAGGAAAGGGGTAGGATGTGACATTGTAAGGGCCAATTAAGGAAGGGAGATTGATGGATATAGCCTAATGTGACTGCAGTCATCTCAAACCTTAACTTACATGATGTCCCTGAGAAACCCTGCTTTCTTTTTCTTTTGCACATTTTCCTAGCAAATGATAAATAGATTAAAATATTAGAAGCATATGTGGGACTTTACTGTGGGACTATGGATGCACCTGACTTTTTAAATATCATCTTTAGCCAGGTAAATTCCAGGCAGGATGAAGTCACATTTGTGCACCCCATAAATGCGTTCATCCGGATAGGTAGGACCACACTTTCAAGTGTAGGTCCTCCAACAAATCACATTTTCCATGATTCTCCATATGTCTGCATCTCTTTGGTCAGGGCCCCTGAAGGCTGGTCCTCATACTCCAGGGTGACAAAATTTCAGACTATACACTCATTTCCAACTCCCACTTCTTAAGCCAAGGTGGCAGGCAGTGTGGCTTGAAAGCTGGTGTGTCTGGACATTTGGTCCCCAGCTGGTGATGCCATTTGGAAGATGGAAATGCTCCAGAGAAAGTTGGTCCCTGGGAGCTGGGCCTTGGCTTTTATAGCCCCATCACAGACACTTCCTGTGTGTGCTCTCTGCCTACTGCTCTGCCAAGATGGGAGGGGTGAGGGCTCTACTCAGCCGCACACTCTGTCACAGAGCTTCCTGCTACCATGCCTTCTGCTCCATGGCAGACTGTGTCCTCTCAGATTTAGGCCAAAATAGACCCATACATTGCTTCTTTTGGTGGCATTTAAAAGTTTTAAAAAAACAAAAAAAAGTCCTGGGATTCTACTTTTGAATTTGTTTTTCTTTTTAACAAATTATTGGAGTCAGTGAAGTGGAGAAAAATTATTAAAAATCAATTCAAGCTGTGACCTTATGAGGAGAAAGGTGACATCATATGACCTTTACTTTAGTGTGAAAATCAGCTCTACAAGAAGCAACAGTGCCCAGTTCCTCTGAAAAAGGCAAGATGGAAACTTAGAGACAAAGACAGAAAAATGCCCAACTCAAACCTTACACTGTTAATGACATCTGTAAAAATTAATCAAGCAGTTTGCATGCTTTTAAATATGTCACCTTAGGGAAGAGCAGTGTAGGGCTTGGCTGGTTGGGAAACGAGGAAAAAGATGCCTCACAAGTCCACATTCGGTGATATTTCTTCATTTTACAGAATTGGAAGAAATAACACATTACAAATGATGTTTGACTTACAAGTGACTTCCGTGAGGCAGGAGAGAAATCAGGGTTGACCCACAACCCTTGGGGTAGATCTGACATTGGTCTGCTTTTTATTACTGATCAGACCACCCTTTCTCAAAATTTCTGCAATAACGGGAAGGGAAAGCCAGATTTGTTTTTGGTGAAAACCAGACAGCCCATAATGCTTATGTAGGTCTCAGAGTTACAACATTTTCATTTGGGATGTGGAATAATTGCAGAACACAGTGAAAACTATAGCTGTTGTCATGTTAGCATCTTAGCTGGATCTCCCATTGCTCTAGTTGTCTTTTCCTAGGCTAGCTCATGCTACACTATTTTGGTTTATGATTTCACACCAAATCAATCTTAATGCCAACAACCCCTGTAACAATAAGTCTTTACTCCAAAGCCACCCAAGCCCTGCCACCATGTGGGTGCTGCCAGGCTGCCCCAGTTCCACCCGCCACCATGTTATGATCCCAAGTAACACACAGAGACTTATATTAGATATAAATACTGCTTGGCCAATGACTAGGATTTCTCATCTGCTAGCTCAGTCTTATCATAAATATATGTATTCTATAAGACTTATCTTATTGGATGTCAGCCTGCCTGGGCTCACATGGTGACTCTGCAGCAGAGACCAGGAGGAAGAGAGAAGGGGCGATATTCTTCTTGCCCTTACTTATATATGAATCTCCCTGCTATGTCACTTCTTGCCTAGATCACCACTTCTTTACTACATTTCCCATAATCCTCCTTGACTCCTAGTCCTGCCTAATTTGCTGCCTCATTGGCCAAACAGTACTTTATTTATCATCCAATAAAACAAACACATACACAGAAGCACGTCCCCCATCAAACCCCCATTTTCTTTTCCTCTTGTTCTTCATCGTGATTGAACCTAGGTCTGCAGGCACACTAGGCCAGTATCCACCATTTAGCTACATCTCGAGCCCCTTCTCTGAAAAAAAAACCTTATAGTGTAGTAGAAAATGGGTGAACTTCAAAATAGACCCTTTAGTAGAACTGAATTCTCATCTGGAAGAAACAAAAATAGATCTCTCCTTCATATCCAACATATATGGGGCTCAGCATCCAAACCTTAAGAGCAAAAGTGACAATGTGTTAGGGTCTGTCTGGGGCTATAGAACCCCAAGAAAGCCAAGAAAGCAACAAGGGAAAGATAGGCATAGCTAACTACCTAAGTGAAAGACAATTATCTTGGTGATATATCTATTATGAACAGAATAAGAAGCCAATGGAATGAGAAGGAGACATTGGTCATGTGTGTGACACAAAATTTCCCCCATGAAGATTTTCTTAAAAACAGTTCTAAAAACAGTTCAAAGCCAGGCGGTGATAGCACACGCCATTAATCCCAGCACTCAGGAGGTGCAGAGATAGGTGGATCTCTGTGAGTTTGAGGCCGGGCCTGGTCTCCAGAGCAAGTTCCAGGACAGCCAGGGCTACACAGAGAAATCCTGTCTTGAAAACCACAAACAAAAAACCCCAGCTCATTAGAAAAATGGGCAGGCCCACCCCTACCTGAGGACCTAGAGATAAGGTTAGTTGGTGGTTGCTCAATGAGAGTCCATCTCCTTTAAGGGCGTGACCCGTGGTCACTTGGCTGTGCTCCAGTGACTGCCTCTCATCCATGAGGTTATGAGCAGCACTCATATGGACTTAGTGGGTTATTAAAAAATGGGGGGATGTGAAGGAGGGAGGGATGAATATAGAGTGGATCTATAAGTAGTTGTGGGGGGAGGAGTGAGGGGAAATTTCTAGAACTATCTCATCTATACAACATTCTCTCACCTGGAAAATGGTCTTTTGTAAACCCACTGGATCAAGCTTAATTGCATTGTTAAATCTCTCCCATCCAAATATATAAATTAAAAAAAAAGACACCAAACAGGACCTTGTTTGATAGCCTAGGCTAGCCTGCAATTTATCATATAGCCTAGGCTGTCTCAGAACTGTTCTCCCATCAGCCTCCTGAGTGCTGGAATTGTGGGTGTGAACCCACAGTTAGCTCTTCAAATCTTTTCATGTCAAAACCTCCTTTTGTAGTGATGAGATTGTCTTTCGGTTCTTGTGGTTGTTTTAGAGCACCAGAATGTAGGTGTGTGTGTGTGTGTGTGTGTGTGTGTGTATGAGTGTGTGCATGCCCCTCGACACTAGGAGGGGTATAGAAAGTCAGGAATGAACTCTGGACACAGTCCCTCCCTCCACACTGCTTACCCCACCCCCTCTGCTTTCTTGGGCCCTTGCCTTTCCCTCCATTACCCTCCTCTTCCTCACCGGTCCTATTGCAGCAGGTGTAATCAGAGCTGTGTCAGCCCAAGAGGAGAATTTAGTGATGACAAATAAGACATGAATTGATAATTGATATATATCTTTTTATTATGCACAGATAAAAGAATTAAAATTGTGGTTATCAAAACTATAAATCTAAGCAGGTTCACAAAGTTGCTGACTCACAAACAGGACAGGTTACAGCAGGGGTGTTCAAACTGGCCACAGGGATTTTTTCAGGGTACGCTCTGACCCTCATAGATGAAAAATAGTAATGAAATCAGGCTCATTCAGAAAAAACCAGAATAGAGGAGTATTGTATTTGGAAACTGATAACAGTCCTTCCTAGAAAAATATCTGTCAGTTTTATGAATGAACCCCCAGATAAAACAAACGGTTAAAAAAAAGTTTGCATACACAACTCACCCGACAAAATGTGCTCTGTTAATACAACCAGCAGTACACTTATCATTCAAACCATGAGGTAGTTACAGTACAAAAAGAAGGGCGCACGCCTGTGCACCCCACACACTCAGGCACACCTGCCGAGAACACACACAGGAAACAGGATTTACAATCTCATTACCAGACGAGCAAGACACCATTTTGTGTTTAGGAAAAAACTGATACATGACCAGCTCAGGCAGAAGAAAATCTCCAGCCTTTGAAAACACAACATTAACAGCTGGGGAACACCACAACATGAAATGCTACAGTAGAGCATTGCCGACAGCCACCTCTGACTTGAGTGTGGCCTCTGGTCACTGTGTGGCCCCCAGAAACAACACAAGACTTTGTAGGTGAAACTGGATTCAGCCAGTCTTAGGAAACTTGCAGAATATGTTATGAAAGTAAAGCTTGTACTTTGTATTAAGTCTGTGAAGGGCAAAGCGGTCAGAAATGCCGTAACAAGAGACAGGGGAGACCCTGGCTTTTTATACTTTGGAACATTCATTCCCCAATACTGATTGGGTTTCTTGAGCTGAGTATTAGACATCTAAGGAAATAAAGAGCAATTTTTTTCTTTTCTTTCTCCTTCTAAAAATCTTTTAGTTTGCAGCTTATAAATTTGTAAGTTAATTTAAGATCATAAAATCATTGGCAATGTACTATTTCTCTCAAAAATATACATTTAAATATATTACAAAAATCTTTAACTCTGTCCATCTAAGAAATGAATCTTTTTAATACCTTCCCATAGCTAATTTTCTAACAAGATGGAAAAGGTTTTGTTTTTGTTTTTGTTTTTAAAGTAACTGATTAGAAGAATTCACAGTAACTGAAATTAACTGAAAAAAACATTTCACGTGGGGTAACTTAAATTTCTCTAAAACATTTAAATATATCTTTATACAGACTTTTTGTAGTAAAATATAGCTATAAGTGATTTAAAGACTCTCGTCTTCTTTGAAGACATCTTTAAACATCTTTCTTTATACATAGAATATACTTAACAATTACATTCTGCTGAAGGTTAGGCAAAGCGCATTGTTTTTAAACACAGGTAGCGTAGAAATATCTAGGTCCTCCACAATGACAACTTCATGTTATAAAACAATAAACTGAAGAAAAATTTCTCTAGTCTTACACCATTTTGTCCCTACATGTGGAAATCTAAAATATTTTCAATGTATCAATGCAAATCTGAAGTATTTTCAATGTATCAATGCAAATCTGAAATTATTTTCAATGTATCAATGCATCAGTCTGAAGCTATTGGCCCTGAAGGAATCTGCTTTGGTTCAGATTATCCCTACTGAATAAAAGCTGTGCCTGCCACCCATCCAATTTAGACTAGGGCGCAGTGACTAAGAGACTGTTTCTACCAGCAACACTTCCCACTGAGGTTTTTCAATCATGAAGCTTAGGCACAAAACAGCCTAACTTTAAAGGCAGTGGAGTTTGCTTGTGAGAATTTCAGGCTAGAATCTAGCTTGTTCTGCTTATAGAATCTTAAGTTGTTTGGGGGGAGAGGGAGGAGGGGATTCTGGAAAAGCAATGCTACTTGATTTGCAGGGGATCTGGCATAGAGAGTCCCCTCTGGGGTTCAGTTTCACCAAAGAGCAGTCACTGAGTTTTGTTAGGGTGGCAACCTATTACTTTGCCAAAGGACATTCTCCTGAAACCCTTCTGTGAGATTCTTTAACGGGAATGGCCCTTCTCCCTTTTCTCTCCCTCCTCAGGGAAGAACTGGTGACATCATTAGATGAGCTGGGGCCCATTCCTAAGGAGCTGCCTCCTGGAAGGGTTTGGCTTTTTTATAAAAGGCTCATCAGAAAGGCTGATATGTTGAGTTCATATAGTCTACCACATATAAGCCACATTCTGACTCTGGAAGCATAGAACATTTTTCAGGAGGGTGTGATCATATCTCCGATGTGCGATGTTACAGACTTGTGCACACACACCACCTTGCAAATTCCTTCGCTTACCCTTCCCCCACCCCAAGTTTAAATGTTATCAGGATAAAATGTCAGAAACGGGCACAAAACCATTTTCTGTTTCTGTATGCCTATGAGAACAGACAAATTTGACCTTAAGACACTTATGGAATTGGCATGGTGTGGAGGAACAGGAATCAGCATTCATTTTGGCCCAATTAAAGGAATGTTGCCTTGATGAGTGACAAGGTGTATTCCCCCCACCAAGGCTAGCAAGCTAAAGGGGACCAAGTGGGTGTGGTAGGTCAGAAGTGGGCACCCAGAGAGAGATGCAGATTGGTTATGGAGGGTACATTTCTTCTACTTTACATCTTGGTTCAGTTAGAAGAGAATCTTTGGCTATGTCTCCCTGGTTCTACTCTCCAGCTGTCGTATCCTTTTACTATCCCCGTTACTCTGAGTAAAACTTACCACCCCGTATGATGGATGTTTGGACACCTGGACAAAGCAGCATTAAAAAAAAATAACTGGCATGTTTCACATTGAAACCCCTATCCTGTGAGGGGCTGGAGGAGAAGGCCACCAGCTTAGCTTTGTGTGTGACAGATGTCCAGGGGTCACATTTACATTGGCCGGGATGAGGGGGTGGGTACAGCAGGCTGTGTCTGTACTCTTGAACTTCACTCTCTCTCTACAGGGAACCCAGATCAAGCCTTCCAAGTCTGGACACGCAGCACTAGTACTGCCCCGGCCCTGGCGGCAGGGGTGGGCATCTGTCTCTGGCTAGGCTGTGCTGCTGCTCGAACAGGGAGTGCTCTGAGTACTCCCGATGCTGTGGGCTGCGCTGCTGTTTTCTGAGGCTGGTGGCGAGGTGGGGACTTGCTGCCTTCGTGCTGTCTCCCCTGTAGTGAATAAAGACATGTTACAGACTGTGCATTCTGGAAAAACGTGCCTGCATCCCTCCCCACCCCACTTTGACATTTTACCTCGTGTTTTTCTTAACTACAGGCAGAAGCAGCTAGCCTAGATTGGCTGGAGGGCCTTGCACTATACATTTTTCTGGTTTGCTGTTTTTCTGTTTCTTTTTCTTTTTGTTTGTTTGTTTTGTTTTTGTAAGAGTGCTTTCTATCTGGCCAGTATGACTAGGATCTGTGGTGGCTGATGACAAATACTCTGGATTCAAGGGCCTACAACTCCAGGGGTGAACCTTCTGAACACTAGGAAACCACAGAGCCACCATCTGCAGCCATCTAACAAGTTCATGACCAAGAATCACATGACTGAGTTATACAGTTATACAACTAATCACAAAACTATCATGTTTTAAGTAAGTCTATCATTGTGTATTGCCAACCCCTTTTTGTGCTAGAATGGAACCTAGGACTTCAAACACACTAGGCATGAGCCAAATACCACCGAGCTATCCCCAACCCCTTTGCTTCTATGCCTTGTCTAAAACTGGGCTAGTGAAGTTGAGAGTCTGCTCTGGCTACAACAACATAAAAGCTTTGTGTGCCCCGCATGAGACCTATCTAAGCAGTAGGAGTGGGGAGTGGGCTGCTATGGGAAAACCTTTTGGGGCAAGGAGTTTGAGCTGTTTGCACTCAGGACCTGCAGTGGCTGCCAACAATCTCCTTGCAGGCTGAGGCTCTCTGCTGAGTTCAATGCATGTATCTCTCCCAACACATTACACACCCCACTAGACATTACACACCCCACTGCATTGCAGCTCAACCCATTCTTTGCGCCAAATGTGCAATACTCTGGGGAGGGAAGGGAGAGCTCAGGTCACACACATGGTTTGCATTTAACTGTGTAAGAGGTCCTCCAGTTAGCCAGTCTCTTCAGTAAAACTGGCCACACACACACACACACACACACACACACACACACACACACACACACACACGACACAACACACACTAGAAGAGAGAAAGGCTCCACACACACACACACACACACACACACACACACACACACACACACACACACACACGACTCTAGGTAGAGGAAAGTGACACAGACTCTCAGCCACAAAATGAATGTGTCACAAACTTCTCCTTTGCAGTCTCCAACCTCCACCAACTGAGACGCCCCCAGTAGGCCTGGTCTGTTTGAGTTTTCCTGTCCTGCTGAAATACACATCTATCAACCAGAGATAAGCAACCCTTCCTTCGGCTTCCTTAAAACACAACACTGCAGCAGCTAGAGCAGGCTCTGACCCCTGAGCCAGCTCAGGAACTAGAGGCCTTGCATTGCCTTCCTGGGGCCCCTCAAAAAATCTCTGCCAAAAGAGCCCTTTTACAAAATGCAGAACCGGCTCATGCCCTGGGTCAGGTTTCAGCTTTATGAATCACAGCTCCATGGGCTTCTGCATCCACCTCAGAGCACCCGAGGCTACTGTGTGTGCATTTAGTCCTTGATTTCCTCTAGTTTTTCTCCTGGGATTGGAGGGATGGAGAGAGGATGGGATTAATATTCCCAAGGAGCAGGCAGATTATTCTAATGCTCTTCATGCCTTGGAATATTTTGTGTCTTCCCTAGTGCTGTCCCTTCAAGTGTGTATGCAATCAACAGTGGGAAGTTTGTTTCAAGGAAAGTGACATTTTGCTAAAAATTGACTTTTGCCCAAATGGGAGATTATTTCTAGACAACAATCCAATCTTTTCTCTTTCCCTCCCCCTCCAGTTTCCTTTCTCAGTCCTAGAGTTTGAGCCAGAGCCCTGTCCATAACAGGCACATGCTCTACCCCTGAGCTATCGGCCCATGTATTTCCAGCCCTTGATGTGTAGACACACACCCCTTTACAACACACATGTTGAGCCATTCTCAGTTGGGACCTCATGTTACCCATTAGAAAGCTAAGGTGGGCATAAAAACCCATCTGTCCATCCACCAGTCCATCTATCCAGTGCTGGAACTGAAACCAAGGCTTAGTCCTGGCTAAGTTAGCACTTTATTACTGGATTAAATTTCTAACCCCTGAACCTAAAAAACCCTCCCTATTTAAATCAAGGGCACACTGGTCTAAAGAAGAGATTTCTTAACACCCCTTTGGGCTCTGCTGGCCTTGAGGGCTTGGTCTCTAGTGGCCGAAGCAGGACATTCTTACTCATCTAGTGGTAAGTTCACATTTATCTCTTCCAGAACAGGGCGAATATTTGATTCACATCCAGGAAAAATGTCAGCACTGTGTCCTGCCCAGGAAGTCCGAATATCTGCTTCCTGGTATCTGTTTGCCAAATATAATTTGTTGCTGTGTTAGTTTATTTTAATCAGTGCCCATGAAGAAGAGATTTTGTAACTTTTAGAGCCTTGGAAACTCTCATGTGGGAAGCATTTTTTACATTACCAAAAGTAAAATCCTAAAGAGAGAATAAAAGAGCCCTATACTCAAGGTTGCAGGGCCTGCCCCTGAGGTGGGTGAGTCACACTAACCTGATACTCTGCTGACTTCAGTTCAAAGACCTGTTCAATCAGGGAGAATCTGTCAGGGAAACCTGCTGATCAATGTTGAAGACCCCTCCCCAGATCCTGGAGTAGACTGGCTATGGTGGAGTAGAGGAATCTATAAGCTCTGGGTTTGAGTGAGAGACCCTTCTCAATATATACGGTATAGAGCGATCAAGGAAGACACACAAGGTCAACCTCTGGTGTACATGAACATACACAGCCACTCACACACGCCCTCTGTGACGAACACTCACACATATACACACACTCACCCTCACAAACTAATAGTAATCTTAAGCCAAGAGAACCCTTCCACAGACCAGCTCATCTGTCCGGTTGCTATTTTCACATATAAAACCTAACATTTCTTGATATAACCAGTTTTTTCCCTGATCCTCTGGCCTCGCCTCCTCCTTTCTTGTGAGATGGGAGAGGCACTGTAAGAAAATAAAGCATCCCTTGGGTGACAGGTGACAGCCAGGCATCATGTGGAGGAGAGGTGGGCTGGGAGGACCCTGTGGCTAAGCAGAATAGGCTCGGTGATATGTGAGATGTTCTAGGAAGGCTTGTTCCTCACACAGCAAATTTAGTCACCAGATTTTGTACTTTAAAATCTCAAACCACACAGGGGTGGAGAGAGTGGCAGGGAGGAGGAAGAGAGTAGGGAAGGGGCTTTTGGAGCCTTGGAGCACTCAAGACTGGGGGTCAGAGGTGGGGTTGATGGGTAGAGATGAGAAAAGCAAGGTCTCATTCCACTTGTCTCACATGATAGCCTGTGGCTGGGTTTGGGTGATGGGGATGATCTTTTAAGGAAGAGGAAAACGTATTTCCTAAAGGACAATGGCTTTTATTTCTGTAACTTAGCACAGTATCGTCCAAATCTTCATAACTGAATTCTTTTTTTTTTAATGCATGTGTATGCATGTATGTCTTCATAGCAGTACATGCAGGCCCATGTGTGTTCAGTTGTGCACAAAGACCAAAAGAGGAAGTGGCTACCCTGAAGCTGGAGTTACAGGTTGTAGTGAGCTGCCTGATGTGGGTGCTGGGAACCAAACTCAAGTCTTCAAGACTAAGCCCCTTTCCAGCCCTCAAAGTGGATTTTTATCTGTAAGTCTTTTGTCTCACAGTTTCCAGGAAGACATGATGAGAGGTGTGACTAACATTGAAAGGAAGGTAACAGGAATCTAGGTTACTGAGCCCAAAGAAGACTGTGCAGTGTTCTGGAGACCATTATGGAAACAGAACCAGCTAGCTGTTCTTTATCTCCCTGGAGGTGAGGATGTAAGGAAATGAGCTCAAATGTCAGTGGTGGGAACACAGGTGAGACACAGAAAGAAGTTGCTTGGTATGGAGGGAAATTATTGGACCTCTTTCTTGGGAGATAGTTAAGCACGGGGTGAGCTATGGGAGTCAAAATTTTCCTTTGGGCCTATTTGTTGGTTGCAATTTTTCATCAATTGGTATTGTTTTCTGTTTTGTTGTTTTCATACACTAACTGCAACTAGTTGCAGGCCTCTAAGGAGGCTTAGGCTACTGCCTTCAGTTTAGAGAGCCTCCAGTCACTTCTTATCCATCTTAGAACCTGTTCCTTCCCAGGACAGGGGTGGGGTATAGGTTAGTTGTTGCCATGAGTCTGATGCTACTCCAAGGCAGAATTAGTCTTTCCAAATATTCTTCCTGTTTCTTGATTTTATTTCTAGCTATGGTCAACCTGCTACCAACTGCACTTTGATTTTCTGCATATAACATTAACTTGACTTTGTGAAAGATGGAATATACTCTGAGTCTGGCAGCAAGAATAAGAGAAGTGGAGGGAGTGGAGGAGGGCAGGAGAGACTGGTGGAGGAAGAGAGAAGCCTTTCTGGATCTTCCTGCCTCCTCCCGAGTGCTGCGATTACCCAGTTTATACTGTGCTGGGGATGAGATCCCAGGCTTCCTGCTTGTTAGGCCAGCATCCTACCAACTGAGCAACATCTCCAAACCCCTCCTATGTGCCTTTAAGAAGCCCTACATGTACCTTATTATTAAACAATTAGCCTTAAAGCTCTCTACTTCATTTTGCTGCCAGTCTTGTCATTTGAGCTGGGTCTATTTCCCATAGTTCCCCTGGCAGATGCAGAACTTCATGAGGTCCCTAGAGGTAAGACCCTTAAACAAGAAACACCTAAGAAAAGCCTCTTGAATGCCTGGGTCCTATAAAAATGTCAGATATTTCAGGCTGCTCAAATTGTAAGTAGAAAACAATCTACAGGCAGGAGCACTGTGTTTCACAGAGCGAAATAAAACACAGAAGCCTCGTCCTAGGGCTGCCTGCTCTGATTCCTCAGGCATCTACTTGGTCATCCTCCACTGAACACACATACATTCTAGGAACAGAGGTCAAGCACACACTGAAAGCCCACTGAGTCAGGAAAAAGCTTCAGTTAGGAGACTCTCTGCAAAGGTC